CGCGTTACAGTATGCTCCTATTCTTTTTATGCTCAGCTACTAAGATTTCCCTTCAGTGGTAAAATTCAATATCTACAACGGGCACAGTAAAGACGTTTACAGTAGACAGTAAGTCTTTCTACGACAGACCAACGGACCACGAGTGCCGCTGTTGGTCAACCAATCACGTACCGCGGTACCCAGCGTCATCTTGCGTCATGATACGCGACACTGTAGCCAATTACCTGCGGTACGTGTCTGTACCGCGCACTTTGAATGGCTGCATCTGTAGTATAGTAAGACACCCGGACTCTCAGGCCAGCAGCTATATCCCCCTCCAACTCACAAATAGCAGCCCACTGGAGCTCAGCAGTGTGAGCCTGGTCAGTACCTGGATGGGAGACCTCCTGGGAAAGCTGATGTTGCTGCTGGAAGAGGTGTTAGTGGGGCCAGCAGGGGGCGCTCACCCTGTGGCCTGTGTGGGTCCTAATGCCCCCGTATAGTGACAGGGACATTATACTGTAAAAAGGAGCCTTCCTTTAGATAAGACAAAATCGAGGTCCTGACTATGGTCAATAAAAATCCCAGGGCGTTTCTTGAAAAGAGTAGGGGTGTAACCCTGGCGTTCTAGCCAAATTTCCCATTGGCCCTTACCAATCGTGGCCTCCTAATAATCCCCATCTGTGAATTGACTTCATCACTCTGTTCTCCACCCTACTGAGAGCTGATGTGTGGTGAGCATTCTGGCACGCTATGGCTGCCGTTGCATCATTATTTTTATTATTATTTATTATTATAATTATTATTACAGAGCTCCAAGCGGCCCCACCCCTGTATCTTTTGTAAACACACATTGCTTTGTGCTTACCTGCAAAACAAGATGATATCCAAAGTGTATGGTTTTAGTTTAGTAATTCTATTAAGGCTTTCTACAAAGAGTGATTGCATCAGTTTGATTTTTTTCCTGAAATGCTGTCTGAATGCATGTTGTCAGAAAGTGGATTTACAATAACATAATATCATGTCACTGGACCAGTTCAGGCCCCTATACTTTAATCTGCTGTATGAGTTGTAGCTTTAGCTTCTTTTTTATAACAAATATCTAAAGTGCAGTTACCATAAAATATTAAGGTTTTCAAGAAATAATATGCTTATGGCAAATACTTTAATCAAACTTCTGCTGAAATGCTAATGTATAATTATAAAACTAGAAGTTGTTTGTGATTTATTATCTTATTGTAATAAATAAACTACGAAGTTTGTTTCTAGTTTGTATATTACATATGAAGATATCACATCTCGTACACCCGAAGAAGGCTCCACAGCCGAAAGTTTCCTTTCTTCTCTTTTCAGCATGGAATAACCCTTTAACTTGTTCCTTTGCAGCCTAAGCAAGTTGACACAGCTACAGTACCTACTTGAATCACATCAGTTATGTTACTTTTTCTTCTTTCTTTATTTTCCATCATTAATCATGTACTTTTTAATTATATGTTGTACATGTTTTAGAGAAATTCAACTATAGCATACAAACTAAAATGGTGTAAAAAATAAATGTTTCAATAAATGTTTGTTATACAGATATTTCCTTAGTTCTGAATATTGAATGTAAACTTTTAATTTTCTTTTCCTGCTCCGAAAACAAAATTTCCACCGTGAAACATTTAACAAAGAATGTTTATTAAGTGCTTTAGATACAAAAACAAACCAATATAAGTGAAGACAATGCATTTTAATACTTCATTTGTATTAAAAATATTAGGTTTTTGCAACCTTAATAAGTGCAATGATATAATAAACTTTCTCAAGTTATGTACATCTTACTCAAAGCTTTCTTGTACAAATCATTATGTTCATTTAAAATATTATACAAATACTCTAAAATGTAAGTTGATTTCCACCAATTTTATTTTATTAGTAAATATATTGTTTACAATAGAAACAACCTATATATCTTCACACATTTTTGTCCTCAAAAATATGGTTATTTACATAGTCACCAAAGAAAAGATATAAACTTTTTTTATTCAGAAGTAATATTTCAAAACATAAACATTTTAAAACAAAACTCACATTGTTTTCTTTGAAAAGATTAATAAAGCCTATAGTTTTAATATGAAGAAAAATACACAGTGAAAACTTCAACTCCAACATTTAAGTAGATGTAACAAACCCATGGCACCTGCCAATTGAATTTAAACAATCTTATCTATTTTTGGCAAAAGGTTATGTTTAAGCTTAATATGTAATATTAATCGATCAACATACAATAACATTAAAATCAACAGTGATTATCTTAGTTGCAACATTACACCTGCATTTAACATCAGAAGGGACGGATTACTTGAGAACAATTAATAATGATATATTTAATAATGCATAAAAAATCACATGCAATGAATTAAATGTTGCAAATCAGTCTGTATATATTTCACTTTAAGAGACAACAGTTAGCTTCAGTCCCTACATTATAATAGTACTTAAATCAACAAAGGTGATAAAATATGTTAGAATATTCATGCACAGTATCTGCTTTGTAAAGTTATCTTTATTACACATCTGTTAGTCCTGTAACAATGGGTCTTAATCAATGTAGATGAAAACATGAGTGCTGGTAACCTCTGTATAACAATAGCCATTGGTAAGGAGTTCATAAATACTAATATCTAAAGGCTTTTGCACCTGTTAATAAATTCAGAGCACACCAATTCTTAGAGGACAAGGGTGAGGTGTAGGGATGTATGTGAACATACACCAACTTTGCTCACCCACGCTTTCAAATGAATGAACAGAAAAAAAGTATATTCCAGTGTAATGTACTAGGGACACTTTTCTTTTCCCTGTTATTTAAAATACAAATATTCATAGACCTTACTAATGGCAAGGGAAGTATGTGTACTAAAATATTGTTTGCCTTCCCCAATTTGGAAAAAGCCTACTGTCATATTTACAAGGATGGTTTAATTGTTATTGTATCTGATGCAGACTGGGCACATTGCTGTACAAATTCACTCATTATCAGATTTGCCAAACCCGGGAACAGCACAGGTCAGCCCAACATGAACTATAGCACCCTGGAGTACTAAGGTTACTTTAACCACTATAGTAATTTTATGTCCCTAGAAAAGTTTACTGTAAATTCTGTCTGTAAGACTAATTGAGTCTGCTGCCTTTCCTGGTGGACCTTTATTCTAAAGAAAACAAATATCCTGTGGAAAAAAAAAAACACAACAAGGAGATGTTACAGAGGACCTGTAGCTGCAATACTGTCTTAGAGTTTTTAAAATCCAAACTGAAAATATATAAGAATATACAGGACTGTCTTTTTGGCAAGCAAAGTAACCTTAACTTCTGCACGGTGATGATTTTAAACAATATTTGACAGGGATGTGGATGTGATTTTGAAAAACAGACAAAATATTATTACGTTACTGTTTATTTTGTAGTTAATTTTTAGTAGCATTTACTTAAGATAGTGTTAGACATTTCTAGATTATGTACTGTACATTTGTTATAGAATAAATATGTTAAAACATTCATTTTCATTTGCACTCTGTGGCAGTAATTATTAACCATTATTCTTTATGAAGTGTGAAATACTGTACTACGAGACGAAAAACAGATTTCTGGATTATTTTTTTATTTAACACCTGGTATCTCATTATTCTGACGTAAATTCACATCACACACCCACTTTAGGAGAAACTGCTTTGTTTATCTAAGTTATAATTAAGTGACATATCTCAAGTGTCTTGATTTTGGTATAAAAATAATTTAATGAAAAACGTATCCTACAATAACGTAATGATAAAAAATGGAAAACCTTTTTTCAATTTATTGGTTTTGAGTGCTATAGGTATGTGAACAGAAGAAATCTCAAACATAACAACAAAACTATATCCTTCTATAGAATGGCGAGCGGCCACAACAGCGGCCTATAGTTTACCCTGCCTTGCAATTTTGCAATACTTTGGATTCAGTTTAAAACATCCTGCTTAACTAAAATGCCTTGTTTTCAGAAGGTAAAAGCATACACAACCCCTACAACCACAATGTTCCCTATTGTGGCGATGATGGCGATCCACAGCCAGATAGCATCACTGGACACTGACTGTGGTTCCTCCTGCTGGCTGTGGGCCGTGCTAGCTGCAGCATGGACACTAGCCGAGGAGTTGAACAGCGAGTGATCTGCACTGTAGTCATCATTGGGTGAGTCCATGAAAGCTCCTCCCATGACAGGGATCTGTAAAGGAAACAAACCACTGGTAAAAAACAAGGAGCAACAACATTATATACTGTTTAGTACATCACATGTGAAAATAAATTATATCCTGTTTATATAAAAGCTCCTAAACATGTTCAGTTTCTATCCGTCACCAGCCCGCAACAGCCTTGAGACCACAAAAGTTTTTTTCATGAGGAATGAGAAAGACTACCGAAGACTGTTTGAAAGCAGAATCATTGGGAAAACTTGGCTGAAGGCCAATCTTCCCGCAATAGGATGGGGAGTCTAGAACCCCCCAAAAGAACCAAGTGGGACCCCAACAACCAATGCAGAAAAACAAAGTGCAATTATCACCTTTAGTTCATCTGGAGTAAATGAATGCTCGTTGAAGAATGACAGGATTGGTTTTAATGTGGGCATGATACGCCTCCGAGGAGCAGTGGCTGGGCTGTTGAACAAAATAGTCTGGGAGGTTTGGGCGAGTGGCAGAGATAGCAGGCCCTATCCTGAAAGAATGGCCTGAGAATTGTTCTGGAGGAAAACCAGTGTTTAAGAGTACTTTATGAAGGTGAGAAAGAAACCAGGTGTTACGTCCCAGTGTGTGTTCTGCGTGTTTTTTTTCTGTTATGTCCACACTGCTGACGCTTGATTGTTCTCCCCTCCCCATTGGCCCACCATTACATCATACTTTCGGTATGACGTCATCATCAATTAGCTCTCAGCCAATCAGAACACATCTTATTCAGCATATAACATGGAAGTTTTCAGCAAGGAGTCGCCTTTGGTTTGACTTCGGTCCTGTTTGGTTTTGGTTATCGCTTCGCTTCGCTTCTGGTTATTGCTTCGGCTTCGTCGGTTTGTTTTGTTTTGCTTTTTGTGTGTGTGTATTTTCGTATAGCTTTGGCTTTGTTGTTTTGTTGTTTTTCTGTTAGTTTCTTTGTACTTTCGTTTGTGTGTTCATCCTTGTTTTGCCATTACCTTGCCCTAACGTGTTACATGTTCAACTTTTGTGTTCTTTTGATTCATACAGGATTATGTAGGATTGAATTTTGAAGTATTATATGAAGATGTGGAATTGAACTGGTCAGTTTTGCATTTCTTGACATGGAGGGTTAATTTCCATTAAGAGATGGAAAAGACACGACACAAGATGTTGATATCAGATAGGTAGGGTTGACAAGAAGGATCAAAGGTTGCAGAAGCAACTGTGAATTCAGAACATCTCAGGAAGCTGAAATAAGCCAGCATTTCTTTTAAAAATTAAAAAATAAAGTGTGATAAAACAAGATATTGATCACAAAACCTCCTAACGTTTATTTATTCAAAATCTAAAATCATAAGGCATATTAAAAAGTATTTTTTCTGAAAATAAAAGTCATCTATCGGTAATCATTATTATTGAAATACTGTGGCAATGTTATTCTGAAAAAATAATTTTCCTTTTTTACTTTATCACTGTTACATAATTGAACCACACCATCCGGTTCTTAGTTCTAACTGTAAGAATGTCACAAGTAATTCAGTAAAACCTGATCGTTAAGAGCTAGGATTTTAGACCAAGTATCTGTTCTGTTAAAGTGCTGTCAGCCAGGAAGAGGCTGACATAGATCTGCTTTTACTGGTACTATTTCTAAAAATGGACAGTAAATGTATCAGCACTGGGTCTGTGCACCATTTGTAGTTGTACTTTTGTTTTTGTTTGGTAGTTTCTCTGAACTGTGCTGCTTTCAACATGTTAGACTATTGCTAGTGTTCATCAGCTATTGATCAACATCTTTAATCTAGTGCAAGAATGTCTGCTCCAGTGTGAGGTTTCACACCCCTCCATGCAGCAAGTTTCAGGACCTCCCACAAGCAATTCACAGCCTTACAACAGAGCAGACCTTAGGGAAACATAAAATAATTCTTAAAATCTTTTCTTTATTACTTGCAGAATTCTTTAGATTATGAAACCATCTTTGTGCATCCAAACTTTTTGCGGCAAGGTGGCTCACTGGTTAGTGTTGCTGCCTGGGTTCAATTCCGGACCAGGGGTGCTATTTCCGTGGATTTTGTACTGTATGTTCTCCTCGTGCTCATGTGGGTTTTCACCGGATACTTGAGTTTCCTCCCACAGTCCAAAAACATACTAGTAGGTTAACTGGTGTCTGGGAAAATTGGCCCCATGACAGTGTGTGAGTGTGTGTATGTGTGTATCTGTGTGTGCCCTGTGATGGACAAGCGTCCCTTCCAAGGTGTATCTTGTCTGTTGCCTGTTGCTTGCTAGGTTAGGCTCTGAATCCCCTGCGACCTTGTACTGGATCAAGCGGTTGGATGTTTTTTTCTTTTGTGACACAGCCATGTGGAATTATACCACATGGAACTGAGATTTGCAGTATGTATTCTATATTTTCATATAACATGAATATTTTCAAATTCATATATATATAAAACATATTATATTACGTTAATATTTTCAAATTCAAGTTAATTTTTTTAAATAACCTTTTCTAAGTAGGAAGATTAATTATGAAAATGTGGTGAAGGTTACAAATATAACCAGCATCATTTAACTTGATATCAACATTCTTTAATATTTTTTGCTGAATCATTTATCTGTATATTTGTGTACTTTAGCTGTGAATTAATGGTACATTTGTCAGCTCTGGATCAAATGTAACATGTAAAATATTTTTTTTTCATCGTAAATGAAAACTGAATCCAGCAGAAGCACTGGCTCTGTGGTCTGGATCTCTACATGGCTGGCTGACCTTGCTTTTATAAAATCATATATAAGCCCTCTAAGCCTTTCAGATTCACAGTATGTAGAATTAAGTAGATACGAACATACAGCTGGGGTTTCTGCTCCTCTAGGGAATAGTGTAACTTTGAAAGAAATGTTTTAACATTTAAAAAAATAGCATAATTTTTCTCTTTTGTTTGTTTTCTGTTTACGCTTTCCTGCCTGTGGTTAGAAGCACAGTCCATGTACAGAATAAAAGAGATACAAATGCGAGGTAAATGCAAAACAAGTAGCGTATTTTTGTTTTCAAATTTTCCGCTATACAGAATGAATGTGTTTTAAAATGTGCTCTGTATAAATATATAAAGGAAAACAATTAAATCAGTGTTACATTTGTTACATATATTTTCAGGGACAAGGTCTTTAACAGTGCTTCAGAGCTATTAAAGAACGTAAAACATATATGAATGACTACAAATAGGAGAAGGCCATTTGATCCATAAGGCCAATTTTGTTGTTTCTATCTTATTGATCTGAGCATCACAGCCAACTGTGTCCTAAGTAGTCCCAGGGGATACTTACAAATGTTAATTTCCCTTTGTGTGCAGGAGAGCTGCTTCTAAATTATCAACATAAATAATGTTTGTTTCAGTGCATGTAATTTGGGATTAGATGTTTCTGGACTTCATACAGTCATTTCCAAGTGCCTGCATACAGAATTAATTCTGATTATAATAGCACATTACCTTTTTAAAAAAAAGAAAAATGCAGGAGAAGGATTCTCATATACGGCTAGAAAATCCGATAAATTAGGACCAGATACATGTGTGATGAGACTGAGGGTTCGGTGATTGCCCATTTAATCAGCTGGTTAAAATTAGTCTCTCAGAATCATGGTTCTACTTATAACTTCTGGGTTAGGCTGAAGGAATTCCATCATAGTTAGAGAAAAGGGAACCATGTAGTCCGGACTTTAGAAAAGAAGGCAATAGCAAACCCAGCTATTAGGTGTACCAGGGTTGTACACAAAAGTGAAGGTTTTTTTTTACTCACATAGTGTCCCCATCACTATACTGGTGTATTAGGAACCACACAGACTGCAGGGTGAGCACCCCCTGCTGGCCCCACTAACACCTCTTCTAGCAGCAGCCTTAGTTTTTCCCAGGAGCCTCCCATCCAGGTACTGACCAGACTCACATCTCCTTAACTTCAGTGGGTTGCCAGCTGTGAGTTGAAGGTTGATATGGCTGCTGACATGCAGGGTTAACCCTAACCCTAACTAAAATGTTTTTTTTCATGAATCATGATGAGAAATGAGAAATGAAAATGTTATTTTCTTTTGTATGAAAAAAAAATAGCTTAGAGAAAATGATTCTTCTTCATCTCCCCTCACTGGTAACAACTTGTAATTGAAATTTTCCCTAAACATACTTTTTCAAATGAAACTATATTCTGTCATGAAAACCTATTTAGAGCCTTCCCATCTGGCCCAGCACAGAGTGTTTTAATATTTGCAATCAGGTTAGTATAAATTTATAATGGAAATGTAAAAATGACATGTAGAAATTAATAAAATTATCTGCACTTAAACATTACCAATCCAAAAGTGATATACTGTAAGAGCTCCACATTTTTTTAATACTTAATATTTCTCAAATCAGATTTTTACTAAGTTAGAATATCAAGTAAAAGTCCAGATAATGCAGAGCTGAAGTATACAGAATATGACACGATACATATTTCTTACAATATGTTGTTGTAAGAAAAAAGTACAGATATGTAAAAGTTAAGTAATAAAATCCACATGTCTAATGCTAATGATCAAACTTGCTATCTGAGAAGAAAACTCAAACTTAAAGCAAACTTAAAATTTATAAAAATAATACTTAATTAAGTTAAATAAAAATGTGAAGAAGAGACAGCAGCGAAAAGGGAAATTATTTTTCAGGTGTAGTAATTTTTTGCATGAGTTGCTACAGTAGGGGAATATACAATAATCATAATATACCAAACCTGGGTGAAACACATTACAGTATTTCTTTATTTCTTGTACTGTGTTTTTGTGGTGATGTTTGTAAGCATAGTATAAAATAAATTTCAGATTTGTAGTCATAGCAGCAATGTGTCTTCTAAATCTCTTCTTTCAAAAGTTAATAATACATATTATCCATATTATTGGAAGAAGTGGCAAAATAAACAGGATGCACACACTCTTCCCCAAAATATTTTTTTCTTAACAACTATTAATATTTAACTGATTTTTACTGGATATCACCAGATATCACCACCTCTAGTT